GGTGAAGTGCAGGTTTTGGCCGGACCAGGTTGCTTTTCTGTAGATAGACACCTTAATGAGCCCGTCATCTCTGCGACGGATGAGGATGTCTAAGAATGGCTGACAGTTCTTCTGTTCCACGTCGCAGGTGACCCGCAAGTTGGTATTTGCGCAGTTGAGTTGCTGCACCAACTGGACAATCTGCTGTTCCGATGAACAAAAGGCCCAAATGTCATCAACATAACGCTTACAGTATGGCAACTGGGCTATTTCTGTGGATATGCCTCTTTCTATCATCAGCTTGAAAAAATCGGCAAGTACAGCGCCTGGTGGGCTACCCATTGCCACACCATCGATTTGACGATATGGGGTGTTCTGAAAGCGAAAGCCAACATTTGCTGTACACAACAGTAAGGATTCCTTTAGAAATTCGACTGGAATTGGTAACGAATAACTAGAGTGCTCAGCTGGCTCAAGTAGGTATTCAACAGTTTGTTGTAGTGGGACGTTGGTGAATTGAGATTCCACATCCAAGGAACACATGATCTTATCAGAGAGGTTAATGTCATCTAAGTCACCAATTAGTTAAAAAGAATCTTTAAGACTATATGGATTGGACAGTTGTCGCAGAGGCGAAAGTATCTTCACTAGCCAACGAGCCAATTTATGCTGCGGCGCGTTCATCATTGAAAGAATCGGCCTGAGTGGTACTCCACTCTTGCGCGTCTTCGGTGACCCATATAGCTGCGGAGTAGTGCTACCACTTGGCTTCAAACAATTATAGATTTCACTATCAATCACGTGATTAAGGAGAAGCATTTATAAATAAATAAATAAATAGTTTATTCTCGAATGTGTCGAGACACACCAAGTAAGGAATGATCAAGATGAGCAGCTATGCTAGCTTCAACATCGGATACGTTCTCCATCATATTAAGTCGCTCAAATTTACTCGTGTCGTTGAGTATGCAACACATTTTCTGAGCGTACTCGGCCTTGTTCATGACCACCACACCAGAGCCCTTATCCGGTTTCATCACAACTACGTTCTTAGTACGCAGTACACGCAGCGCCTGAAGGTGTCGGCCTGTAAGTGCGCATTTTTCAGTCACTGGCACAGTCTTAACTTCGTGGGCATTGTCGGTCAGTTTGTTTCTAAACCAACCAACACGCTCAGGACTGGATGGCTGAAGCACCTTAAATTGATCAAAAAGTTCTCAAACTGAGCTTCTATTAAGAACCCGTGTAATCTTCCAAGAGGAAGTTTATAATCAAGCTCATATGACAAAGCTTCTAACTGCAAAGTGTCTAGTTGTACGTCTGATAAGTTCACCACGTACTTACTGGGATCACGAACGATTGGCTCCTCATCCTGTCTGTTCGTAAGCGAGTTCTCCACCCGAGTATTCCGATTTCGCCTCGTACGGTCGAGAGTGGATTTGCAAAAGTTAGCGAACACAACACGACAATATAAAGATAAATCCTCTACCACATGGAGTAGGCGTGCGTGAGTTTCCAGTAAACTCAGAATTTGGGACTCGGCCGTCTCCAAGTGAGCAGATGCCACACGTTTGAAGTTAGCCACGGATGGTTTGAGTTTATTTCTACGCAGCAGTGTGAGAACCGAGCGGGGGTATCTATGCAGGAGAATACGTTTTCTAAGAAAGGATATTTCCGCACGTGCGCACACGATCTTGCACCTCAGGCTGACTATACGATGAAGCAATTTGATAGTTTCAGCGGGAATTCGTCGTTTGAGAAATTTCCAGCAGTTAGTTTCCTTCAGAAATTTGAAAAGCACGGTAAGAAGACGAAAGCTAGTAGATGCATGCATTTCATATTGTCTCCTCAGTACCATTAACAATAACCGGTATGCAACTATATAATTAAATATGCGTGTGACCGAATAAGCATGAGGTGAAAAATGAATGACGGAAGTTCCACCCTTTGTCCACGGCTGCCTTAAGCTGATAAATACTTGCTTTATAACATACAGGGCCGGCTTCATCCGGCTTATGGAATCAACCTCGGTTAAACGGAGGAAGCAAGGATTATGGCGACGTAATACAAGTGTGGTACTGAGAAGACAATACGAAATGCATGCATCTACTAGTTTTCGTCTTCTTACCGTGCTTTTCGAATATTTTTTGTAGTTTATTTGCTACTTTTCAAAGTAACCTAGAAAAGGTACGTAGATTTGCTGTTGAGACATGTGAAATAAAGTTAAGGCTGATCCGTGGTAGTAGAAAGTTTGCTTTTCCGTATGCTTCGTTTCTTTTTCTGAAGGAAGGGCCTGCTAAAGAAGCGGTCTAGCTGCTGGCGAGCGTATCGAACAGCTCCGTCGTACAGCACGTTTGACAGGTATCGGTTGGTAGGAAATGAATGCAAGCTACACCTTTGATTGGCCCGGTTTCAGTATGAGAAAAGGCTTAGCTATTACTGCCTCGAAAAATCCCAAGAGATTCTTTGCTTTCGTTAAAAGACGCTGTGGTGCAAACTCGCCCATACCACCATTGATTCGATGAGGTGGGACGCACGCCTACAGCGACGATGACAAGGCATGCGTGCTTGGTAAGCAGTACTCATGCGTCTTTGTCCGCGAAACAAATACGCCATACAAAGAGTTAGTTTCTAGAGTCCCTGAGGACGGTTGTCTGGATGAAATTCCTGTAACGGAGTCCCAAGTTCTCCGGTTGCTAAGAGAGGTAAACCCAACTAAGGCTTCTGGGCCAGATTCTGTTCATCCAAAATTGCTGCACGAATTGGCAGTGGAACTCAGTGGACCTCTGACTTGTGTGTTTCAGAAGTAACTCAACAGCTGTATCTTGCCTACCGAATGGAAGGAGGCTGTTGTCTGCCCGATTTTCAAGTGCGGTGACAAAGACCTACCGGCTAATTACAGGCCTGTCAGCTTGACTAGCGTGGTCGTTAAGTTACTTGAAAAATAGTACGAGATACAGTGGAGAACCATTTAAGTAGGTTTAACCTGCTTAGCGTCGAGCAACATGGTTTTCGCAAAGGATTTTCGTGTCAGACGAACTTGCTGGTAGCTCGAGAGTGCTGGGCTGAAGCCGTAGACAGTGGACATGCGGTGGATGTGGTGTTCATTGACTTCGCCAAGGCCTTTGACACTGTCCCCATTCGCGACTCTCGCTGAAGTTGAGGTCGTATGGAATAGCTGGTCGTGCTCTCCAGTGGGTGTCAGCTTTTCTGGATGGACGGGAACAGTGTCTTCGTGTGGGAAGCAGTCTTTCGTTTCGACAGGCTGTGCTTAGCGGCGTTCCGCAAGGCTCTGTCCTAGGTCCGCTGCTGTTCTCAGTCTACGTGAATGACTTGCCGGAGGAGCTTGAGGTACAATCGCTTTTATTTGCAGATGACCTAAAGCTCTGGAATATTGTTGATATCCCTGGAGGTCCTATGGCTCTTCAACGGGCTCTGGATAAACTCTGGGAATGGTCTGTCTTGTGGTTGCTGCCTATAAACCGGGCAAAGTGTTCAGTGCTGCGTATCGGAGCGTCTGATTCCTCCACAAGTTATGTGCTCGATGGGACTGTAATTCCTCACGTGACTCATCAGGTTGATCTAGGTGTCGTCCACCGCTACACATACACTCTGGAGACAACTGGAAGAAGGCGGCTAGTAAAGGGTTCCGAAGGTTGTGGTTTATCCGTCGTTCTTTTGGGACCCAAACCGCTGATGTGTTTGTGAAGCTCCTCTCAGCGTTTGTGCGACCCCATCTAGAATATTGCGTCCAGGCATGTCCACCACGCCTTGTCCGGGACAAAATGGCACTAGAAATGGCGTTGCGTGTCGGTACTAGGTTGGTCAAGGGATTACGTGGGCATAAGTACCACGAAAGCCTACTTATTTTGGGAATGCAGTCAATGCATTATCGAAGAATTAGAGGGGACCTAATCCTACCTACCGTATTTTGACTGGGAAGGTTGGCCCTGATTTGTCCATGCTATTTAGTCCTGCTAGATTATCTGGTCTCCGCGGGCATTGTATGAAGCTGGACAAACCGCGGTCCGATCGAGTTTGAGTGGAGACACGGTTTTCGCGTCGGTACATCGAGCGCTGGAACCCGCTTTTAGAAAACGTTTTCAAGGATGCTACGGTTAAAGGGTTGGAGCCTCAGCTAGATGCTCTTGGGTGGCAACACGAAACCCTTTCCGTTTTCCTGACTAATTCCCATCTTCATACTTCGATTCTATTTTCTTTGCTTTTCCTCGTCATTGGTATTATTCTCTTCTTTTAACTGATTTCCCCTACTCTCTTACCTTCGATTCTCCTTCCCCTCCTTACTCACTTCACGTACCTGACACAGCTAGGACAGATACTGTTAAGACCGTGGGCATTAACTTGGTGGACCAGGGTGTTTTTCCGGTGTTTTCGTTTTAGACCCATCAAGAAGTCGGAGCACCCTATCAACTCCTGCATCGACGACCGCTCATAAAGTAAAACTTACAGGATTCATCCTATTGTTTCAGTTCCACTTGAACTTGAAGCACGAGACTGCAGTTCTTCGGACATCCCCTACCAATTATAGTTTCCACTTGGTCAGAAGGCTATTGCCAAACCACTAAGGGAATAGGTTGCACCAGCAAAGTAAAGCCTAACATTAAATGTTGCTTTTCTGTTGTTCTTCCATTTATGTATAACATATTTTAGCATGTTGATGGCATGTATGCTGCGGATGAATGTTCACTTGTCTTGGGTTCGTAATAACATCTTATTTGAGACGGCTGGGGCCGTAGTCTTCTAGCAGTGCCATACAGAATACGCTAATTTGCAGAAAACTCAACAAGTTATGTGATTTATTTTATACACGGAAACGATGACCTCGGGACTTCGGGTTGGAGGTATCCTGACTAGTTATTAACTAATGCGCAGGCAGGAAACACCAATGCACAAAACTTGTAAGGTGTAGATTGTCTTGCTCATTTAAGTCCGCCTGTTGTGTTTAGGTATTTGTTTAAACGTTCCATATACTTATCTTAACCTGGGTACACAGCAGCAAGCTACACAACAATTACGAAAATGACGTCAGTACTGCCCATGAGACAGGAAAGTAGATATTCCTTCGAGAGTCAACCAAAAGTTTTAACACAACCTAACTGCGATATTGTGGACAACTTCACGTAACCGCTTTCCTGCAAATTCCTAATACTTTTGCGCAGTAATATGGTGCTTTATGAAAATCGACGTGGTAATTTGATGTTTGACAGACGTGTGATAAGAGGAAACACTTATGCATTTCGTCCTGTTTTAATCCAAGCACAGTCTGGTTTGAAAGAGAGGAAGAAGAGGCCAAAACACCGCAGTGATATTACCACCCTGGAAAAAGACAAAGTAGGTTTAACCTCATTTACACGCCTTTTAAGCTATACCTCTTTTGGTACTCAGATATTTTGTAAGGTGTACTATCGTTTTTTGTTATTAGTGTATACATACACTACAGTTTTGGGGGCCATAAATCTTCCGTTACTTGGTCTGAAATCAAGCGATCAGATTATTAGCTTTTAAAAGTATAAGCACCTTATCCAGTATATCTAGTATATCTTTAACATAACGATAGTAATTTATTGACGTTGCACTTTGCATTGCTCGTTACATGTGCTCTTCTATGACTGTTGAACTCATCAATACAATGGGATCTTCAGCTGTCATGTATTTGGATCGGAATATGACCGTGGAAATTCATCATTTATATATTAACCTACTCACAACTTATGTGGGTCAAAATTCGTGATAATACAGTTTTCAACTGTATTGTTATTCCTAATTCTTGGTCATCATCATCACCACACACGTTAGCTAGAGGTGGTGAACACCTCAGCTACTCTGCCGCAATACATAGAAAAAAGGAAAAATATGCAACTGGTGCAAGCCGGCTGAGCTACCGGCAACGGATGGGCATCGTTCCAGAATGCTACCAGCCGGCTACTGTGCATCAAAAAAATTACTATGCAAAATTATATAAGGCTAAATAATGAGATCGTGGTTGGAGGGGGTGGGACAAAGAAACTCACAGCACAAACGCCACTGAGGTCGGCTCCTAGCCATATCAGCAAGTGTGTCCAACCAAACGTGTTCATCGTCTTTCGGACCCCAACCAGGGAGCCGAGACGCTCCAACCGAGGCCAGCTCAGAAGTGAGGGCCTTCATTTCTCTCGACCAAGTCATCGCTTGACCACCCATCCTCTTCTTCCATCCACACCCCCGGCGCGCAAACAACGCACGTCGCGGGAGTCGGTGGGCTGGCATGCGTAACACGTGGCCGAGCCATCGGAGCCTGATGCGTGAAATAACGGTGCTGAGCGGTTCATTTCCTTTTCCTGTGCCTTAAACAAGGCGTCGAACACGCTCGTTGCTCACGCGGTGTTCCCACCAGATGTGAGCTAAATTACGAAGGCACCGGTGGTCGAACGTAACTAGCCTCTTCAGGTCCGCTGCTTTAGGCGGCCAGGTTTCACAACCGTACAGTAGGGTCGAACGTACTGCTGCATTGTACACTCTACCCTTCAGGGTAAGAGTGATGTCGCGCCGGCGCCATAGATGGCGAAGGTTAGCAAAAGCGCCCCGAGCTTTTGCTATACGGTTCGTGATCTCATCCTCGATCCCACGGGCGCTGATACAACTTCCCAGGCAGTTGTATTTTTGAAC